CATATAAGTTACTTTGTAAATTTGATTAGATACACATATTCAGCTCGGAGAGAAAAGAATAATGCAAATTAACTATATATGATAAACGTACACATTTTATTATAATTATTTTGATTATTTTAACCTTAATTTCTGATGCCATTTATATATACATATATATCCGTCTTCACCCCCCCCCCAAAAAAAAACCCCAAAGAAACAACAACAACAAAACAAAACTCATCCCAAATAGTAAACACTATTGATGAGATTGACATTCGAATGCGAAGTAAACAAAAGTGGTTAATTAAATAAAAGTAAAATGTAAGTCTTATATTTCACAACTGTATATTAGCCACATAAACATGCCCGTTCATTATACAGAACCATCATCAATAATGATTTGATAAAAACAATGTTTTGTTACCTAAGTAACCTAACCTATGGCACAATTGCATGAATACAGTGTGTTATAGCGTGATCATTAAGTAACATCATATATAATTAATGTTAACAGCTCTCACTAGGAAAAAACTTAGTTCATGTAAATGAAGCTGAACACTTTGTTCAAATTTTTTACAACCTTAATGGACATGTTGCAAATCCAATCCCACATATTTGTGTCGTTCCTTGTACTAACAGAGGACACGAGATCACCAATTATATATATATATAATATTACATAATAGCAGTCATTTGATATCAAATATATTGCGTTAAATTACTATCTTTACTGTCTTGACTAGTTATCTAGTTATTTTTAAAACAATGACTTATCATTGATTTAACACAAAGCCGTATTATACTATGTTATATTTTAATATTAAAATTGTTTATCTTATAACCGTTTGAATATGCTGTAATGTTCAAATCAAACATAAAAAAATTGCATGCTTATAATTTAAAAACAATAATTTTTCATTTATTGTATGTATTTACAGACTGATTTTATTTTACTGACTGGTTATATTACGTCGTGCTTTAATATTTAAACTCATATGATATATTTTCACAATGAAACAAAAGGATAAAAAACATAGTGATAAGAACATTCTTTAAGTTATTTTGCTGCATATTTCGTGTAAATTGTTTTTGTTATGGGTATCAAATTCTTTTGTTTTCAGCAGATAAATTAGTATTGTTATATGCACGTTTAATTGAAAAAGGGCAAAAAACATGGATTAATGTAAATAGACTTCATACTTCGTTTATTTCCTGCAAAAATATTTGATTAGTCATATAGCATAAAATAGTAAAATGTCAAATATAACGGCAGTAGGCGAAAAGCATGCGTATAAAGAACAAACGAATAGAGCGGCGTGGTTGTGAGAATTATGTATTTATTAACGAGACTATGTTTATTAAATTATATTGGCTTATGATGACAACAAAATTTGAAAAAAAAATCCCTCTTATACTTTGTAGAAAATATTACAAAAAACTGTTTAGAAATCCTGAGAATAATTTACTAAGTAAAGAGTATAAGTAGTGTTTACAGCGAATCTGTTAATCATTTTCAAAGCAATCACCATTAACAATGTAGGACACACGCAGACGAAAATAATTATTGTAATATATGTCAAGCTGACATTTTAAGGGTCTAAGATAAAAGTTTCATTTTCGTTTTTGTTTTTTCTTTGCTCATATTAGCCCGTTGCGACTCTATAATATCGACTAGGATTTTTTTCAGTTTACTAAAACAAACTTTTAAAAACAACAAATAGGACAAATAATATTGTCATTCATTTTCTACAATCTTTTACAAAACTGCATATGTTTCACGCAAAACTTGTTTACAAATTAGAAAATAATCATATTGTTACAATATTACTCTAAACTAACACTGAAAGGACAAAAGAAAGGACAAGTCCCTAAAACTATTTATTTAAAGTGCATTAACTATAATTAAGTAATCATTTAAATTAAATCAGTTCTAATGAGTTATTTCGAAGAACAATTAGATCCGAAACAATTTTAGCTAGTGCATTTAGTGCATTTTGCTTCATTTCTTAATCGGAAGTAATTAAACAAGCAAGTTAATCTAAATTAATTTTAGGGCTTGATTAAGACGCCAAACATAAACAAAAAATCATTTTAATATTTTTAACATATAAAGCTCAGTTTGGTGAACGGTAATGGAAAGTGAAAGTGAAATGGTAAAATTTGGAACTTTAGAATAACACTTTTATTAATATTTTACATCAACAATAAATCCTAAAATTTCAAAAAAGAAAATATTGTAGATTCGTAATATTGTAATTATTAAAAGTCAATCGGAATAATAGTTTTCAATATTTATCACAACATGTATAAAAATATCACATCAGCCCCTTATTTCATTTGATAGTTAAAATATCATCGGAAGACAAACGTAAGGTAACTACAATTTCATTGTAACTCATTTATAACATTTCGCTTTGCACGTTATTCCAAAGGTTCATATGATGTTGGATGTATTGTTTATGCTAAATACGTATATTATAGCTCATCCTTACCTCACATATGCTACGAACTAATAAAGTGTATAGAATAGTTGTAAATAGATCAACATACTCTGTCTTATGAAAATGAAATATGAAACAAAAAACGTAAAGGACGTAATTCATTTCATCACTTGAAATAATATTGTAATAATTGTTAAAACGATTATTGAAATTACTACAGAACTTCCAGAATATATTTTCAATTCAACAATGATTTTATTAATCCCTCATCAAGGTCATTTAGTTAATTGTCTAATAGCAATCACCGATGATTGTTAATTGATGGGAATACCACATGATATCATTGTGAATATTGGTTGTATGATTCACGAGAATAATAATAGAATGAAAGTTATCTTAACACAAATTGTTGTAAAAATAATAATCAAATCTTTTGGAAAAGTACACTTTGTGACATTTGGTGGCATACTAAGACTCAATTCGGAATTGAAATAAATTCAATTTGATGATTTATCAAAATAATTGTATAACACATAAATTTATTAAATTTTATACATGTATAACATTTCTCCTAGTATATTTAATGTATAACTTAGAAACAAAATTGTGTGCTTTAAATTTACATATACAATAATAATATACGCGAAATAAGTTAAATGAAATGGTTTTCAAAATTTTCAATAGACTAGAATCTACCAGAGAGTTTCAAAGAGAAAATTTTGCCTTTTTGCGAAAAATTTCATTTTTTATTATCTTGTTGATACAGTGATTGTATGCTCTTTTGCTCTTTTGCTTTTGTATTAGCTCGATTCTTTGTTTAGAACATTATATACGAGGTATGTTCAAAAAGTTCGTGGATTTTTGCTGTCATTTTTTACTTGGTTCATAAAAACACCCTTAGTGGATATGAATCGAAAGAATGTCTTTATTTCTAAAAGTAAGATTTACTTTTATTGTAAACTTTTGTTTCCTTTACGAGTTATGTGCACTTTTATAACCATGGCAACGCAACATCGGCGCACGCCGAAATTTTCACATAATGTTTAAATATAAACAAATGTTGAAACAAACTGAATGATTGTTTTATGAAGTAAATTACAAGTAATCATCTAATAGTATTTAATGACATAAATCTGAAATTTGACGTCGATTGGACGTTGTATAGCTGAACAAACAGGTTTTGAGCAGTAGTAGACAGACGGGTATGTTGGAAAGTATAAAGCCCGTTTAAAATCTAGAAATTTGCTCTTTCGGAATTTTTTACCAATATATGTGGGATACTCCTTCATATTTTTATTAGGTGATTAAATTAACTTATAACAATGGGTTGGCGAGCAAGTTTCTGGTTTCAGGTCGCGCAAGCGAGTTAAATACGGCAAATACATGCTCACAGACAGAAAGGGCGACGGAGAATTTTTAGCTGCAAATTGTTGGGACGTTTGTAACGTCAATTGCAAAAGATCCACAGAAGTCCAGACAGTATGAAAGGTTTGCGAGATGTCCGACATATTTAATTTCTGCATCGGATCTTTGCATTCAATTCTGACAAAACAATTTAATTTAATTAAAATAATATGTTATTTCATTCACCAGGATGTATGCGTATTTACAATAAATAATTGTAGTTATTTTTTGTATTACGTGTATTTACTCTGGTCCGTTTGATAATTAATGCTAACCGGTATTCAGTAGATTTACCGCATAAAATAATTGTCAGTTGATAAAATGTTTTTCTTTATCATTGATAATCATATTGTTTAAAGATCGGACGAGGGCGGTTTCAAATTTATGCTATAAATCAACAATTGAATTAAACTTAATAACACTGTCCGTTTAGTGTCGAAATTGCTCAAAAATCCCGATAAAGAGCGGAAAGTATGCGGCACTCGGACCTTTATACGGAGAATGGAGCGAAAAGATGAACCACTTTATATCTCGGGTCATCATCACACACAGAATAATGGTTTTGGTATATGATCCGCGCAGATATTGAACACTAAAAAGAAACAATGTCGCTGGTAAAATGTTTCATTTATATTGCGACGTCACGAACGTCATTTTGTTTCGTCATCAGCGTGCGCCGGATTGTGCATCCCTTGTGATTTGTAACTGTCACAGAATTGTTATTTGTAAACATATTGTATTGATTTTTTCACTGTTAAATAAGGACATATATTCGTATATGTCTCTTGTAAAATCATATACGCAAATTAAAAGATGTGAACAGTAGAACCGCAGTCCACGAACTTTTTGAAGAGCCCTCGTATTACGGGAGAATACGCCTGCTATCAAAATCATGCATGAGCTTAAAATGTATAAATGAAATATTAAATGTTTTGATAAGAAAGTAGTTAAGAAATTCAAAAGAACTTTTCAGTAAAATTAAGTATTAATATTTAAAAAAAACCCAGGAAAATATCCAATATTCATAAGTTTATTTATAGCAATTAATAATAAATGAATATTGTGAATATATATTAACATGAATGACTATTGTGTTAAGTTTGAACAACAATTTCGAATAATCATATTAGAAAAAATATTCCAGTAATGTCAAAGAAAAACATAAAAACTAACCTTGTTTTAGAACGGAAGTTTCCAATCCAGTTTAAATATCAACATTAGATAATCAAAGAATACAGCATGCGACCAGCCATTTTTATATTTAAACAATATTTAAACAATCACTTGTGACTGGTTGGCTGGGAAAGTAGGAAGAAGCGACATCAAGTGTTCAATATTGGTATCAATGTAACTCTCTGTGTCTTGTTTAACTTCCAAGAGAAACTTTGTTTATATAGTCGAGTATCACCAATGAAAGGTCAATAATTGTTAAACAGCAACATCACGTGCAATGCTTCTCAGACTGAACCATGCTACAAACATAATAGGTGTAAAATCAAATATCTGAAGAGAAAAATCAAAGGCGGAATCAATTTTAAATCCAAAAAGAAACGTGATGTTTTTTTTTCAATTTCGTTCAATTTTCATAGCCAATGTAAAATGATGTGTTAATGAAAAATGATATGTGAATAATTCGACCGTTTCATTCGCAAAAGGTCTGAGCAGTAAAACAATCTATAACTATTAGTAACAATAAAGTTATTTTTAAGATCTTTTATTTCACAAAACGTGTTTATAAATTAAGAGCATACGAGTTTAATAGCTTCAGAAATGCTCCTTAATCATGAGTGATGAAAGTCACTCTTCATTAATACCAAAGTCGTGCGTGTCATGAACACCACTTATCTGTAAAAGGTGTCACAAATGCCGACAAAAAGAGGCATACAATCAAAAAATCAAAAACTGTTTGTTTGCATCAAATCTGATGTTAAATTCTAATGAAATCTAATTCAATTATCTCTCTAAATATACAGCAAAGTATATGTTTTACGACACAGTCGAGCGATATAAATAATGAAAAATAACGAGAAAACGCTTTGTATCAATTAAATGAAAAAAAAAAAACCAATTTAAAAACACATCTATGTAACTTTACTCTAATATATACCAAGGGGATTTCATGCTGAAATACGTTACGTTAAAATCTATTGAAAAAGTTGTTCATTTATATCAGATTTTTTTCCGTTTCTGTCGTTGACTCCAATAAATATCTCATCATTCATTTTTATTTTCTCTTTATGACCTGTCATGACATCATTAAAAGCTTTAGTCTTTTTACAACACAAACTCGACTATGATTTGACAGCTTTTATATCAACAATTGTTTTGTATGATGAAGCAGACGACGTATCTTTAAATAGCCGCACAATAACCTGAAAAGGTCGAGAGAAAAGATCAACCCATTTCGCAATAATGTTTCACCAATCACAGACCAATTTCAAATTTGCTAGCTCTCTCTGGTTTTGACGATTGCGTTTTTCATATAAAGCGATTTTGTTTTTTCAACAGAAAAATCTATGAAACAAATTCTTGATTAAAAGTTTTTCTTAATTCTTCACTATTTGCACTTCAGTAGTGTATACTCATAGTTAGATCGGGTGAAGCATTTGGAAATATCTACTTGAAAATACAATTCGGGGCTATTAAATGTGTAGTTCTAAATTCAAAAGGTCTGGTCATTAATCTGACAATCCTTTCATATTTAGGTAATGTTGGCCCAAGATGAAAAAATCAAATAATAACAAGATCTTACCTCTTGTCTTACTTTGTGATACTATTCATTGCTTTGCGTTACGTCTTTGGAATATTTGCAAATATCTTTATGGCTAGTCAGTTTTTAATGCCCGCCGTTGCTTATTGCCCATGCCTCCAAGCATCGGCTTAAGCAAAATTCATTATTTACCATGAAATGGTAAATTATAGAGTTGAGAAACCCCTGCAGATGTATTCATACGACGGTTATCATGGAACCTTCAATATTACTGTTAGTGCCATTCCAGAAAAACAGCGTATGGGCATCTGATTTATGTAATATGAGTGGAAAAGTGTGATGGTAAATAAATAACCTTTACAATTACACGAAGAGGTATCTTAATTCTTAGAATATGCAACAAAGAAACATAATTGTATACAAATTTAAGACTCTAATGAAAATGTTTAATTTCGCAGAAAATACTTTCCAATCTACAGGGAGTGGTGAACAGCTATAAAATCTTGGGAGAATTCATCAATTTAAGAAATAAATTGATTGTTGTCCATACGCCTACACAGACAGTCACGAACTCAAAACTATGTATATACGTAAGAAACAAAAGCTTACAAATAAATGTTTCTATACCTTAACAATCAAAATGTTCTATAATTTTTCATTGTTTTCCGAGCGGTTTGAAAGCTGAAAGACATGAATGTATCAAAGAGATAATTAAAACTGCAATTAACACTAAAAGTGCCCAGATTAAATTCTCAGTGACAAAATGTATTTCATTGTTAAAGATCCTGTAACACATTCTTTTTATGGTTTTATATACAAATTATCATGCTCAAATTAAGATTTATCGATATTGTAAGTTTCAAAAAACATTATTTATAATGATATTACCGAATTTAATATTTCATGTAAATAAAGGGAGGTAATTAGAATTTAGTTTTCTATAAATTCTAAGTCAATTTTTCCAATAAGAAATGAATGCATATAATTGAATGATTACCCTAAATATGAACAAATATTTGCAATACATATTTTACATATTCTTCCATGTTTGAAAATTGACAAATTTGCATAATTACATACATATATAATTCAATGAAGAGTGGTATGCTCGCCCATATGGTCTCTTTCCGGTGGCGAGGGTAAACAAACACAAACACACTATGCAATCCCAATTACAAAACATACAGGATCTTTAAACAAAGGTGATCAAATTACTTTTATGTATCATATCAAAATTCTAGAATAGGGAAATGCTTCGAAAGCACAAGATACTTGAAAACTACCGACATTTGAAGAAGTCCATAACAAATAATTGAGATTACGACAACGCATTGAAATCATAGATTTGTTTATGAGTCGTTTAAAAGGGTTATTATTTCTTAACAAGTTTGGCGCGGTATTCACCGATATGATGTCTGCTGTAGTCGAAGGAAAAATAGTAAATATAAGATACTGTTTACCACCAGTCATTCTATTGTTGTCAAAATCTGAACCTGCAATTGCTGACACTAAACCCAACTAATGAGGAAGTAACCGAAGATTGGAAAGAAAAACAAATTAGTTTTTTTATTATTGTTTGAGCATATAAGATGGTTTTCACCTGAGGATAGTAGTACTTAAGGTACAATAGCATGTCATGAAAGTAGCAAGATGTAAAGAAAGTAGTATTTTGACGTTCATACAAAATACTTTTATAATAAAATAGTACTGATTTCCTTTTTACAGCAAATATGGCTCAGATAATTGGCAAAAGTGTAACTAGTAGGGAGTGCAATATGTTATTTCATCGGCATTTCAACTCGTGCATTATGACAAAAAACGCGCTGTTTCAAAACTTTAGAACTACAGTTACATCACAAACTGGAGTGACAAATCACTAACTAATTAAAGAGCACGCACGAATAACGTCTACAAAGTATTTTCGCTAATGATGACAGGGTGAAATATAAACTTATAGAACGCTATGCAATGACTTTTGTGGAGCAATCTGATACACCTTACGTTTATGACATTTTTAAAGCATTTAATTTTTAACACATAATTGATAGATGAATCTTAATGCAGTTGTCTACTAAAAATTGCAAAACAAGGTCACTGTAAATTCTATATTTAGATAAAGTATTAAACCAGCAATGACAACGAATGTACGATAAAAAGTACTCAACGAGGGTAATTAAAAAACTTTTGACATTTCGTTCAACACGAAACTGTTTACATCAAGTTTAAAGAACTTTGCTCGAGATCCTTTTTAGAGTCAATATTTGCCTATATTATTCAAAAAGACGGATTTAAATAATATGTTTTCTCTGGAAATAACGGGCATAAGCACGATGAAAACACAATTTGACTTGAAGTCAAATAATTATGTCGAATAAAAAACTCAAGCTTCTAATGATAATAATTGTAAAACTAATACAATAATTATAAAATAACCAGTTGCAGCAGCTACTCTTTTAAAAGGGATAACACTGAGGGCTTTTGACATGACGGGCTTTAAGATATTTTTGATAGACTTGTGTACCATTTAATGAAGGCCTGGACCAAATAATTGTGTGCGATTCGAATTTCAGGATCATCCCCTCATCCTGTTGGTCGAGAATAATGATTTTGTATGGTGAAAAGCGTTTCACTGAAATGGGCTTAGAATCGTACAAGAAATTATTTTATTAAATCTTTATTATCCTTTACTTTATAAACATCATAATTTGCCATTGTAAGTGCTTCATTTGATCTATGTAAGACTTTCAGATATTATGTTTTGGGCTCTTTGATATCAGTGAAGTTGCTTTAAGAATTAAAAAAGTAAAGACAATAAAATCAAATAAAAACATCACATGTTTGTACTTCTAAATGTATATAAATCTAACTAACGAGACAAAAAGTCATGACTATAAATCACTTGTAATCGAAAATCATTTTTTAATTTAAACCAATTTTTAAATTGTACGATATGAGTTTGGACACAAAATGAGCATAATATCGACTACAATAAAAAGCTGTCGAAGAAAAACGTAAATCTATTAATCATCCAAAGAGTATCCAAAAAGCAATCACTAACGATCTTGTTTGACACAAAAGCCTGAAACCCAATATTGTAATAAACCTGTTTTGGTTGCGTTTTTTTTAATTATATATATGTTGCTCATTTTAGCATTCTTTTCACTGCCTCATGCAAAATCAGGATTGCCTTATTTCTTTGTGTAACGAAATTCATCTTAAAAGTATTGTACCATTCAACTCGCTAAGACGTCGCTCCTCTTCATTGTCTGCACAATTTGTTTTCACAGCTTAAAAAGAATTCGTTATTAAGAATAAAGACATAAAAATAATTATCTAAGATATTCATGAATCAAAGTGTATTTACACAACACATACAACGCGAAGAAAAGCCAAGTATCTGATTGTTGGAAAATGATAGTAAGTGGGTTTTTACTTTCCCGCCAGTAATCACCGATATGTCGAATGCTGCAGTCATAGACAACAAGAGTTAATATAAAAGCTGATTATTCCAAATTAAGTACTAGTAAGTGTTTTGTAAAAAACTGAAGTAGTTATTGATGTCAGGAAAGGTTATCAATGAAAAAGTAAACGATGAGTGAAACTGAGAAGATATTTATTTAAATGATCTACTGGAGCCATTGAATAAATGGTATATATTGTCTGAGAAGAAAAGAGCTATTAGTAGCAT